CTCAAACTCGATGCGCAGCATCTCGTACTCCTTGCGTACCTGGGCCAGTGTGTCCTCCAGCTGGATGACCTCTGTGCGCAGCTTCTTCTGCAGCCCCAGCTCGTCGCTCTGTGGGTTGATGTGTTAAGGACCTACAAAGCCCCTTGGTCCCACCTCAGGACTCAGTGGTTTAGGAAGAAATCTATTCTCCAGGGACCGCTGGCAGGCACACAGGGCCTCCAAAGCCAGGAACACCTCAACACTAGGGGTCTGGCCCTTAGCCCAGCCCCTATGCCTGTTTCAGGGCCATACCTCCATGTGCTCGATGTGTCGCAGATGGGAGTTCTTGGTAGCCAGCAGTAAGCCCCGAGCCTCGTCCAACTGTGTCTTCACTTGCAGAGATTCGTTGTACAGCAGTGAGAACTGGGACTGCAGCACGCGGTACTCCGTCGTCTCCCGCACCACCTCCTCAGGAAGGCTCCGCAGGGCCACCTAGGGGCAGGGATGCCCAAATGGGATCAGCAAGATTCAAGGCTCAGCCCCTCCCTTCCAGGCACAGATCTTCTCAGCCCCTATGGCAGCCCACCTTGAGGCGCTCATTGGTCCGCACAGCCCCCTGAAGTTCGGCCTGCAGTTTCTCCAGCTCTGCCATACGGCTGTTGGCCAATTCTTGGTTTTCCTCCAACTCTGCATTCAGCATCTCAAACTACAGAGTGGGAGGCAGGGAGGTGGGGCCAGGTGTGGCAGTAGGCCTCCCTTACATCCCCACCATACACTCTACCCCAACTGCCCCTGTGCAGGGCAGTGATCAATTCTGATGCCCCAAACCAAGGACTTTCCTAAGGGCTCCCAGACAAATTGGAGAAAATTCAATATTGCATGGTCAGTGCTGGGAACTAAGGCTCTTTACTGATAGGGAGTCAAGGAAGCATTTCAAGAAGCCCTAAAGTGACGGTAAAGGGAAAAAGGGCACAGTGACCACCGGATGCCAACTGACTCCAACTCACTTCTATCTCTCTCTCTCTGTACTTTGTCTTTGTGGTACTCATATCAAATTGATACATTATTTCACTGATTTCTTTTTTTTTTTTGAGACGGAGTTTTGCTCGTTACCCAGGTTGGAGTGCAATGGCGCGATCTCGGCTCACCGCAACCTCCGCCTCCTGGGTTCAGGCAATTCTCCTGCCTCAGCCTCCTGAGTAGCTGGGATTACAGGCATGCACCACCAGGCCCAGCTGATTTTTTGTATTTTTAGTAGAGACGGGGTTTCACCATGTTGACCAGGATGGTCTCGATCTCTTGACTTCGTGATCCACCCGCCTAGGCCTCCCAAAGTGCTGGGATTACAGGCGTGAGCCACCGCGCCCGGCCTTCACTGATTTCTTATCTGCTACCACAAGTAGAATCTAAAGACATATTCTTTTATTTATTTCCTGTCTAGTCCATGAAAGTTTTGACCTCTATTTTGTTCTTGCCAACATGCCTATTGCCTAGCACAAAGTGTTCAAAAATTTACTCAACAAGTATATGAATGCATGAAAGAAAGAGCAGCAGGAGTGACCAAGAAGGGCCTCAGCGGTGGATGTTTGTCCTTCGTCCTGAGGGGAATTTCAAGGGTGCAACAGAGAAGAGGTCATGGGTGGGGCTGGGAAAAAGATGCCACTCACCTTCTGCATGCTGAGTGTGATCTGGCCCCCCTGGAAGCCTGAGGAGCTCCCAGACACATAGTAGCCAGAGTTAAGCTGGGGAGAGAAGATAGGCAATGAATATGGAGGGGAGGAGCTAGGACCCCAGCACCCAGCCCTGTCTCACCTGCCCCAGCACCCCAGCCCCACCTGCTCTAAAGCCTCAGCCAGGTGCTTATTGAGCTTTTGCTCTCGCTTCCGCAGCTTCTCGATGTCCCACTGTAAGTCTTCCACTGTTGTCTCCATCTCCAACACCTTGGTCTCTGCCGATGTCACTTTATCCTGAAGCTCGGAGTACTGGGAACAAGGAGGAAGCAGTTGCTTGGATGGGGGACTTGGTTCCTGAAGTCCTTGGGTGCCCATCTAACCCAATTCCTGCCTGATTCTAATCCCACCCTCAAAGCCCCTGACTCCTCACCTCCAATGAGATGCGGTGATGCTTCTCCTGCAGCTGGGTGGCCAAATCCTGCAGCCGCCGGTTCTCACGGCCCAGCTCTCGGGTTCGTGCCCGAGCTGCCTCACTGAGGGGCTCACCGTCCCCTGGGAAAGCAGGGCCCAGGTAAGAGCCCAGCTCAGGGCAATGGGGCAAAGTACTAACTTATTCTGGAGTCTGCTATGTGCCATGTGATCTATCAGCTGTCTTGCCAATTTCTCATGACAAAGTCAAGAGTCTATCCCCACTGCACAGTGGAGGAAACCAGCTCAGAGAGGGATGCCACTTTCCCAGCATGTCCAGGTGAGGATGGCAGAACTCAAGTGGGAGGAGCCTGTCAACCTGAAAGGCCTGAACCTTTGATACTATGCCTTGTGGATCCACAACCCGCACAAAGTACTCCAGAGGGCTCTACCAGCATCAACAACTTCTCCAACCCATCTCTCTAGCATTCAATCCAGGAATCAAAGTTGGAACCTCCATTTATAGCCTAACCTACCCTCCCAAAAACATGGCTGATTTATTCCTTGGGAAATTCTGGCCGCCCTTGGACTCATGCCTTAGGGGAAATGGGAAGGAATGCCATTAAGATGCAGGTGGAGATGGACACCTCTTGGGTATGGGTACAAAGAACCCACCTCGGCTGTACACTCGCTGACAGAGTTCCTCCACCCGGCGCTGTAGGCGGTCTGAGGCCTCTACCACACGGGAAACAGCTGCCTTGGAGAACTCCATTCGGCCTTGCAGCTCCAGCTCCACCTCCTCGCTGCTGCTGGCACCCAGTGCCACCACAAAAGCCAAAGCCGGCTCACTGAGAGGGGGCCGCAGCTGCATTGGCAAGGGCTCTGAGAGGAATGGACAGACCCTCATGAGGATAACAGCAGCAGTTACCACCACTCTGTACCAATTTTCAGACTGAACCCTTCAATACTCATGACTCACTTAATCAACACAACCATTTTCTTCATCTTAAAAGTGAGACAAATGAGGTTCAGGGACGTAAATAATTTCCTCAAAATTACCAGGACCAGGAAGGGCCTCAGAGGTGGATGTCTGTCCTTTGTCCTGAGGGACAATTACCACCAAAGCTACAGAGTTTCATATCATGTCCTCAGGGAAGCCTCCTGTATCATGTACTCAGGGAAGCCTCCTGAGGGACAGTTACCACCAAAGCTACAGAGTTGTGTAACATGTCCTCAGGGAAGCCTCCTGTACTTTCCCATTGTAAATTATGCACTCACAAACACACACATGCATGCACACAGCTACTCCCTTTTGGGAGCCCCAGTACTTTTTGCTTACTATGTTTGTGATAGTTTCCTCCCTCATAGCAAGTGCAATACTCATTTCTAAAGCAGCGTCAAATACATAGTTAACACTCAACGGTAATACTGTTTTGAAACAAATAGGTGTCAAAACATGAATTGCCCTACAAACCAAGTTAGGCTCCAAAGCCTGTGTTTTTGTGCACTGCACTTTACTGCCCAAACATGAAATCCATTTCGTGGGGAGTAATAAGGCAGGCAATTCAGGGGCGCAACACCAAAGTCCCCTCCTTGGAAAGGAAGCTCCCCAGAACCCAGGACTCGGGTCCTACCCCTCAACTCTGATGTCCCCGGCTCTGGAAGAGGAGTCCCATCACATGTTAGCCCCTCCTGGGTCCCAGGTGCCTCAGGCACTGAAGACAGCTCCCTCTGGCTCTCATGGCATCGGAGAAGGGCTTCCACAGTTTCATCCAGCTGAAAGGAGAAAGAATCAAAAACGTTATGAATGCCTCAGTGCTTTCCAACATGATACTGCTTTCCCAGCAGGTGAATCTGAAGATTGGCAGCTGAATCAAGGCCTGGTTTTGGAAAGCAAATGGCATCCACCTGGGCCCAGTAGCGATTGACAATGAGGAGTGTGGCATCATCTGTGGCCTGCCGCTTCTCCAACTTCTCAATTCGTTCTCGGAGTTCATCTTCACAAGCCTGTCGCTGCTCCAACCGCTCTGCCAGTTTCTTGTTCTTGAACTGTAGTACCTTCAGGTCCATCTCCTCCTACCAAGGGAAACAAAGGGGTCAAGTAGGAGAGAGAGAGTCAAGTAGGGCCAAGAAACCAATCACAGAGACAGAGGAGCAGAGCATCTGGAATGCATGGGAGATGAGGGTTTTCCCAGACTAAACGCTAACAGGATCTAAGGAGGCTCAGACAACCCACAGCGAAAGTGTCTTGGTTGTGAGGAGGCTCTTGTTGTTTCTGCCTGGCCCCTTCTAACTCCTTAGTCTTTGACAACTCACACGCCCTCTGGGAACCTGTTTTCCTATCTGTAAAGGGAAGACAGGCGTCGTGTTCTCAGATTCTTTCAACAGAGTATCCTGTAACGCGTACCTTGCTAAACGTGGGGAAGTGGGTGTAAGACTCTGGACAGTTTAGGCAGAGAATAGGAGGCCTCTGACAAGTTCTGAGTGTTAAGGCAAGAGCCCACGAACCGTGGAAGAGATGCCTCCAAGACGAATGGGCTCGATAAGAGTGGTGGTGGTCTTCTCCTCACGACTCAGCTTCTTTTCCGGGGGCCCTGAGCCCCCGTCGCCCGCGGCGCGTTTGTTGACTGGCCCAGACATGGCCGCAGCGGCAGGAGCGGCGCAGGGTCCCCTGAGGGGCGTCAGGCGGAAGAGGGCAGTACTTCCGTCACCTGCAGAAGACAGGGAGCAGAGATGTGGGCACTGCTGGTGCCTCACAGCCCGAAACAACCTCCACTCTGCAAACACCTGCTGGATCCCGCCCCGGCCGGCGCCAGGGCCCTCACCGGCAGCAGGGTCAATCTAGGGCAGCCATCTTGGATTTCACCGGACGTCACTGGCCTCCCCGGTGCGCAGAACGCAGGCGCCAGAGGCAGCACCGGATGTGAGAAAACGTCTTTATCTTCTGATTCTATTGGTTGCGCTTGGTCCCGCCTCTCGGGTGCCTCGGCTTCTTCCCAAACACCTCCTCTTTCTCTCGGTGATTGGCCGAGAGGCAGTTCCCATGGTAACTGACACCGCGCTCTCACTTCCCAGCCTGGAGAAGAGTTCCGGCCCTCCCATTATTGGCAACTTGGAAGAGAGGGCGCCCAGGTGGGCACTCGCAACTTCTTACGTATCTGCGCGTTCTCTTCGCACACACTGGCGTGAGCCTGCATTTTCCACCCTTCTTCCCTCGCAAGCACCCTTGGCAACCGTCGCCGTTGAGACAGGGAGACGCCCCAACGGATTGGCCCCGCCGCGCCTCTCCGCGCGCAGACTGGCCAGAGCTAGGCGAGTGCCCGGGCTTGGCAGCCGCAGACCGACAACTGGCTGTCCTGGAACCGAGGCGGCGGGAGCCCGGGGCGTCCTGCAGTACAGTAAGAGCGGCGAGATGCTCAACCGCAAGGCCAGCCACTTTCTAGGAATGAGGGTGCAGTCGGAGCTTGAACACCTCTCCGAGCTGCGGCGGGAAGGGGGGAAGGATCGCAGGTCAGTGCGCGGTTCAGCCGCGCGGACGCGGGCAAATATGCGGAACCAGTCGACAGCGGCGGCGGCGGCGGCGGCGAAAGCGGATGAAGACCCTGGAGCCAGCTTGTTCCCGGTGAGGGCAGGACAGTCTGGTCCGCTCGTATTTATAAACAGGCTCCCCCGCAGGCGCCTCCCGTCATTATGTTTACTAACGTTCGGGACGTCTCCCGGGCTGCCTGGGCAAGGAGAGGCAGGGGTGTGTGACCCCGGTGGTTACTGTGCTCGCTAAGAGCACTTGGGGCCTACTGAAGCCCGCCCTCGCCCGCGCCTCTCTAAGTCCTTGAGATGAGATGGCAAGTTACATACAGCGCGTTCTCGTGCCCGCTGGAGATTCGCCATTTGCCAGGACGCCATAGCTCTGCCTCCCTTCGCTTTCTTTCCGCAGCCGCCGCTGCCCCGGCCCCGGATCTGCATGTGGTGAGTGTGAAGAGACTTGGGGAAAAGTTATACTGAACACTTGCGTTCTTCCTTCATTGCCTCCCCAACAGTCCTGTCTTGTGGCCAGGGCATCCCCATTTTACAGATGAGGAGACAGGCCTGGAGATGCAATTATTCCAGGTGACTGGAAGCCAGCTTTCCAGCTTCCCCAGTCCAAAGAGGCGGTGTGAGAAAAAAAGAGCCAAAGACAGGATGTCAATGGAGTCTTATAGCCGCTGTGGAATATCGTACAGAGATGGACACTGAGGGCCACAGGGGGACTTGGCCAAGGTCATACAAGGTAGTGGCAGAGCAGAAAAAAGAACTCAAGATTCCTAACCCTAGGCTTTGGAAATGGAGAGACTCAAGAGTTCATTTAGGTCCAGAGAGGTAACAATTTGCATAGTTACACAGCAAGTTGGCAAAAGAGCCCAGCTTCATGCCAGTGGCCTGACTCCCTGTCCCATGCTCTAGCTGTCACAGCCGTGTCATGATATGTAATGCCACCAGTACTTTTTCTTTTCCTATAACAGGAAGTACCTGGACATCCACTCCATGCACCGGCTGGAGAAGACCACCAATGCTGAGGAGATGAGGGAGTAGGGACTGAGTGGGGTGGGAAGAGCTCTTGGGAAAGGCTGAGGGGGTCAGGTTGGGAAGACATGAGGAATGGCTGACTCCAAATCATGTGGTGGATGTGGGATGATGAAAGGAGTTTCCGGTTGTCACTCGCTCCTCTATCCCTCCCAAGGGTGCTGGCTGAGCTGTTGGAGCTAGGACATCCTGAGCAGAGCCTACGGGATGCCATCACCCTGGACCTCTTCTGCCACATGCTCATCTTCTGCCGCCAGCAGGACTTCTCACTGGAGCAGACGTCAGCAGCTTGTGCCATGCTCCAGGATCTTCACAAGGCTTGTATTGGTGAGAGGGGTCAGCTACCAGGAAGTTTGAGCCCCAGGGAGAAGAGGAAGCAGAGCTGGCACAAGTGACCATGAGAAGCAGAAGCAGATTTCTGCCTAGATTCTGTCATTACTAGTAGCATTATCACACACAAGCCATCACCTTGCTAATTCACTACTTCCTTATCTGGAAATTAAGGATACAGTACACATTTTACAGGACTGTTATGAGAAATAATATATGCAAATATATGCATAATGCACAATAAAACCTGCTTCAGAACGTTTAATAGCTGAAATGATCTATTTCTTGGTTTATTGCATGGCACTTCCACTAGAATATAAACTTCGTAAGAGCAGGAACTTGTCTGTCTTGTTCAGTGCCTAAAACAGCATACAGTAGGCATATAGTGGGTATTCAATATTTGTTACATGAGTTAAGGAAACAAGCCAGGGCTGAAACCCAGATCTGTCTGCCTCTGAAGCTTATGGTCATAAACAGCTACTGAGTGAGGTGAATGAATGGATATCAGAGAGGGGCCTCACTGTCACATCTTGCTTTCCCTACCAGCAACCCCCTTGGGCAACGTGGAGGAGTGCTACCGCTACTTCACCAGTGTCCTTTTTTGCCATGGAGTCAGGGTCAGTTCCCCTAGAATATTCTGGAACCTTTACCTGTCCCCACACAAGATCTGGCCCAGTCTCTCTCATGTTTATCACCTTTATCTTCCTCTGAAGATCCCAGCAGGTGCTCCCTGCTCCTAGATTGCTGGGGCTTTTGGAGGCAAAGCCAGGGCTCTGGGAGATAGTTAGGGTTCTAACTCCCAGTCACCACCACAGCGGCCTCCTTTCAGCATCGACCTCTTCAAGGAGGAACAACTGCTGGCCCTGGAAGACTACGTGGTCAACACTTACTTCCGCCACTTCAAGCTCTATAAATACGTCTTCACATCCCAGGTAGGGGCTGGTGGACCATGAGAGGCAACCCTCAACCTCCCCTTTCCCTCAGCGCAGGTGCCCTCCTCTCAGCCTACCTCTTCCTTGCTTCCCAGGTGCGGCTGGATCTATCTTTGACTTACATGGGGCTACAGCCACCTATACTGTGGCCAGAGAGTGAGATGGGTAAGGAAGACTGCCAGGGCAGGGCAGGGCTGGGCCGGGCCTGGCCTGGGGCCACAGTCTCTTCCTGCTTCCGGTTTGCAGAGAAAGAAGAAAGCAAGGAGGTGGAGGAGCAGGCAGTTACCCCCCAGGAAGAGGAGCTGGAGACAGTGGCCCCTCCAGAGCTAGAGCCAGAGCCAAGTGAGGATCTGGAGGGGGCAGGCTGCCCTATCCCTCTAAGCAGTGTAAAATGAAGGGTTTAGATCACATCAGGACTTCAGACTTTTTGTTTTTAGTCATACAGTCCTTTCTCCAAATGATCCCTTATGTAGAAGTCCAAGATGACAGATAAAAGCACAGCTGCAGGCCAGGCGTGGTGGCTCATGCCTGTAATCCCAGCACTTTGAGAGGTCGAGGCAGGCGGATTGCCTGAGCTCAGGAGTTTGCAACCAGCCTGGGCAACATGGTGAACCCCTATTTCTAATAAAATACAAAAAAATTAGCCAGGCATGGTGGTGTGCGCCTGTAGTCCTAGCTACTTGGGAGGCTGAGGCAGAATTGCTTGAACCCGAGGCGGAGGTTGCAGTGAGCCGAGATCATGCCACTGCACTCCAGCCTGGGTGACAGAGCAAGACTCTGTCTCAAAAAAAAAAAAAAAAAAAAAAAAAAAAAAAAAAAAACCACACACACAGCTGTTTAGGGTGGGGCAGAAGAGGTGGCTCCAGAGAAATTATAATTAGAAAGCCAGTAACAGCCAGCACATACTTGGCAATAGATGTGCTGTGCATGCCCCGATCTAAGCATTTTACATACTAACTGATTTAATCCTCCCTCAAGCCTACATGGTAGGTATTATTACTATCCACATTTCACATGAGGAAACTGAGGCACAGATAAGTTAAACAATCTGCCTAAGGTCATACACCTACTTAGGAGTAGGGACCAGAATTTGAATCTGCAAAGTCCAGCATAGCCACCCTACCCAACTGCCTCTCACATAAGGGCTGGCTGACATTTCCTAAAGGGAAGCAACATTCCCACCTGTATATCCCCCAGGGGAACTTTGGGGGCTGTGTTTACCCAGCTAGGGACCATCCCCTATTCCCAAACAGCATCTCCTCTTGACCCATCCCTTCTTCCCTGCCTGTGCAGGCCACATCCAAGTCCTCCGAGCCTACATCAAGACCCAAGTGAACAAGGAGCTGGATCAGCTCCAGCGGCTGGTGGAGGAGCAGCTCAAGGCCAGCGAGGAAAGGCTCAACAGCAAGTTGACTGCATTAGAGCGGCCCTTCCAGCTACCTCCTGGAAAAGGCAAGAGCAAGACTAAGTGACCCCCAGCATTTTCTCCAATAAAGGTCTGGGCTAGAATGGCCCCATCCCTGCGCCTTGCTGAGTATCTTCTGGGCTTTCCTGCCCAAGCCAGAGAGCAGACACAGGGGCCCCACTCTCCCTGGCATGTAGTGGATTTTATTTCATATGCAGCGCAGGCAGCACTGACCGGGCCAGGCATGGAGTTCAGAGTGGCTCCCTTCCACCCCAGCTCTGATCTCAGAGCCCTGGCCAGTGGGGAGAGAAGTACTGGGTTGGTCTTTAACAGGGTAGTGGGATTAGTGGTGGGCCTGAGGCCAGAGCCCAGCAGGGCTGGAATGATCAAACCCTTCTTCTAGACAGTTCTGCTTCCTGGGAATCCCTGGCATTGAGGTCCTAGCCCAGCACCAGTGCAGCCTCATCCTCAGTTATAGCAGTAGAGTCTCCCTCCTCTTCAGGGCCCATGACAGGGAAAGGCCCAGGGGGCTGGTGCTGAAAGAGAGCCGCCCGGTTCTGCTGCTCGCCTTTCTTCACCCAGTGCCCATAGAGCCGGAAGGCACAGTTGTCGATGAGGCGCCGCACTGACCGCAGTGCATAAGGGTCCCTCAACAGTGCATTCTTGGTCAGCGGCCGTACGCGATGGGTGCTTAGGGCCACTCGTCCAGCAGCCAGCACTGTCCACACTGCCACCTGGGAAGGGAATCAGGGTGAGTTCCAGCACAGGGGAAAGATCATGGGACAGAGGCATGGGCCCAGACCCTGACACTCTCAGGCTTACCCGGAACCGCTGGCGGGGGGTGAGGTTCCAGGCTTGGCTGCCTTCACAACGCTCAAAGAAGGGATGCTGTAGGGCCTGCTCAGCTGTCAGGCGTGCCTCAGGATCCACCTGCAGCAGCCTGGAGATCTAGGAGAGACCCAGAACATGAGGGGCAGCTCTTGGGCTTCCCCCATGTCCTCTCAGCCCCAGCTCACCAGGTCTTTGACAGTGCTGGAACGGTCGTCCCACTCAGGTGAACTGAACTGGTACTGGCCCTCCATGATCATGCGTAACATCAGGATCTGCCGCCGGTGCCAGAAGGGTGGCGAGCCAGCCAGGAGTGTGAACAAGATCACCCCACAGGCCCAGCTGGGAAAAAGACCGGAGTCAGGCGGGACTGGGTGACGGGCAGACATGGCAAAAGACAGCAAGCACAGGAGGGAGGGGGAGACCAGGAACTTACAGGTCGACCTCCTTGCTGTAGCCTGGGTGGGTTTCATCCATGGAGCATTTAAGGATCTCTGGTGCTAGATACCCTGGGGTCCCACACAACTCTGGGGAGAGAGGACCAAGATTGACAGGATGCCACCAGCCCCTCCAGGGCCCTTATCAGTGGATATCTGCTGGAGCCTCCTCAATGCCGCCAGGACCACCATTGTTCCCATCCTCCTGCCTGTCTTCTGCCAAGTCTCCCACCAAGGCACTATCTCTGCTCAACAACTCAAGTACCCACTACGATCCTGGTGGCCTTCCTAGAAAAACCTGCGTTTTTGGATTGATTTCAAGGTCCTGTCCAACTGTATAATTTGCCTCCTCCAACCCTACCTACCCACTATCCAAGCCAACCTACCTACTCCTCACACAACTTAGTGACCTTAGTTTTACACATATCATGCATAATGCATATGGAAAGATTATATATTTTTACATACATCACAATACATATGAAAAAAAAATTTTCTGTATTCCTATCTGCCCAAACCTCTTCCTCCTTCTATAATCTCCAAGCATCCCTCAACCCAAGGGGAACAAGCGGGGATAGGGAATTTATATTAAATTACATAATGGGTAAGTCCCTTGTTTAAAACTCTTCCCTGGACCGGGTGTGGTGGCTCACACCTGTAATCTTAGCACTCTGGGAGGCTGAGGCGGGCGGATCACGAGGTCAGGAGATGAAGACCATCCTGGCCAACATGGTGAAACCCCATCTCTACTAAAAATACAAAAATTAGCTAGGCATGGTCGCGCTACCTGGGAGGCTGAGGCAGGAGAATTACTTGAACCAGGGAGTTGGAGGTTGCAGTGAGCCCACATTGCGCCACTGCACTCCAGCCTGGTGACAGAGTAAGATTCTGTCTCAAAAAAATTTTTAAAAACCCTTCCCTGATTCCATATCATGACACATGGTCAATCTACAGTTCTAAAGCTCAGAGCCCTCCCAAACTTTATCCAAGTCTGTATTTTTATAATTTATTTATTTTTATAGAGAGGCTCACTATGTCACACAGGCTGGAGTACAGTGGCACTATCACAGCTCATTGTAGCCGTGGGCCCCTAGGCTCAAGTGATCCTCCTCCTTCAGCTTCCCAAGTAGCTGGAATGACAGATGTGTGCCACCATGCCAGGCTCAAGTCTGCATTTTTAGTTTGTTCTACCACTCGGGTACCAATTCTTTCAGTAATTTCTGAACTGTGTTCCATGGCACACTTCCAGTAGATTTTAACAGCCCCAAATCGCAACTGACTTTCTTGGGAAATTCATTCCTACGCCAAGTATTTATTGAATAACGTGGCATTGATTCACCAGTGGCAAATCAGATGTGCCTTTACCAAGCTCACTGTCCACCTGAAGGCAAGCAAGAGATAACAATAGGGCTGGGCCCAGTAACTCACGCCTGTAATCCCAGCACTTTGGGAGGCCAAGGCGGATGGATCACAAGGTCAGGAGATAGAGACCATCCTGGCCAACATGGCGAAACCCCTTCTCTACTAAAACTACAAAAATTAGCCGGGCATGTTGGCACATGCCTGTAGTCTCAGCTACTTAGGAGGCTGAGGCATGAGAATCACTTGAACCCAGGAAGTGGAGGTTGTGGTGAGCTGAGATGCCCTTGTTCTCCAGCCAGCGCAATTTTGAGACTCCGTCTCAAAAAAAAGAAAAAGAAATAACAATATAGTAAGACGTGTTGTGAATGAAGAAGATAAGACAACAAAAAGCAAGGGGACCTAAGCTGCCCTGGAGGTTTAAAGTGAAACCTGAATTACCCCAGCCAAGGGAGAGGATGGAGTGGGCAGAGGCAAAGATGATTCCAGAAAGGGGAAACGTACATGTGTAAGCCCAAAGGGTTTTAAAGCACAATATCCACCAGACATGTAAGTCCACAGGTTAAGAGTATAAACTCTGAGGCCGGGCGCGGTGGCTCAAGCCTGTAATCCCAGCACTTTGGGAGGCCGAGGCGGGTGGATCACGAGGTCAAGAGATCGAGACCATCCTGGTCAACATGGTGAAACCCCGTCTCTACTAAAAATACAAAAAATTAGCTGGGCATGGTGGCGCGTGTCTGTAGTCCCAGCTACTCAGGAGGCTGAGGCAGGAGAATTGCCTGAACCCCGGAGGCGGAGGTTGCGGTGAGCCGAGATTGCGCCATTGCACTCCAGCCTGGGTAACAAGAGCGAAACTCCGTCTCAAAAAAAAAAAGAGTATAAACTCTGGAATCAGACTGTCCAAGTTCAAATCCTGGCATTAGGACCCTGGAGAAGTCATCTCACCTCTTTGAGCCCATCTATTAAAAGGAAACACAAATACTCTCTGTCACACAGGGCTGTGGAAAGGATTTAGGAGAATAAGCCATGTAAAGACTGATGCAGGTCAGACACAGTGGCTCACACCTATAATCCCAGCACTTTGGGAGGCTGAGGCAGGAGATCACTTGAGGTCTGGAGTTCAAGACCAGCCCGGCCAACATGGTAAGACTCCAACTCTACTAAAATACAAGAATTAGCTGGGTGTAGTGGTGGGCACCTGTAATCCCAGCTACTCAGGAGGCTGAGGCAGAGGAATAGCTTGAATCCAGTAGGTGGAGATTGCAGTGAGCCAAGATCATGCCACTGCACTACAGCCTGGGTGAGAGAGCCAGACTGCATCCAAAAAAAAAAAAAAAAAAAAAAAAAAAAAAGACTGGTGCCTGCCTCTTAGTGAATGCCCAGTGAAGAGCAGCTTTTCATAAATCCAGTGCAAAGCCACTGAGGGAGAAAGTCAGTGGCAGACTGAAGGCTCTGAAGAATCCCATAGGTGAATTGTATTTGAAGTTTCCCATTTGCACTAGCAATGTTCCTGTCATGACAAATGTATTCACATCAGGTGAGCCTGAGGCCCAGGGCCCAGGTGGGAAGTGCAGTTTGGACACATCACATCAGGTTCCTGTGGTCCTGCACTCCAGACTCCAAACATGTGGCTGAGCACGGCTCTGCATGCTCCTTTTTTTTTTTTTTTTTTTTTTTTTTTTCCAGAGACGGGGTCTCACTGTTGCCCAGGCTGGAGCGCAGTGGCTATTCACAGGTGCAATCCCACTACTGATCAGCATGGGAGTTTTAACCTGCTCCATTTCCAATCTGGGCCGGTTCACCCCTCCTTAGGCAACCTAGTGGTCCCCCGCTTCCGGGAGGTCACCATATTGATGCTGAACTTAGTGCGGACACCCGATAGGCATAGTGCACTACAGCCCAGAACTCCTGGGCTTAAGTGATTCTCCCACCTCAGCCTCCCAAGTAGCTGGGACTACATGCATGTGCCTCCGCGCCCAGGCCTGCTCCCTTTTTTACCTCTGTGGGGCTCAGGCTGAATCAGTATTCCTTCCTCCAGGCTCCCCTGGCATGGCCCACTGCCCACTTGTCTGTCTCCATCCTCCCCAGGTCAGGAAACCCACTCTGAGGTAAACACAAGCCTTGCGCCCAGAGGGTACTTGGCAAGTGCTCACCGACTTCTCCCTTTTTCTTGGCACCAGGGACTCAGTACTCAGACCCAGCCAACCAATGTCATCAGGCCTAGGTCTCCCCTCCCAAGCCTATTAGGACACCAGATCCCCTCACCTCGTAGCTTCTCGCCAGGTTCCAAGTGACAGGAGAACCCGAAATCTGAAAGTCGGATCTGCATATTGTCATCTAGGAGAATATTCTCGGGCTTCAGATCTCGATGCACAATGTTGTTGGCATGGAGAAAGCTCACTGCTTCCAGCAAAGACCGCATGATGGACCTTGGGTGGGGGTAGGGGTGCAGTCTCCTCCTCTGCTCCTCCCTGCCCTGCCCCACCCCCTGCTCA